AAAAAAAAAAAAAAAAAAAAAAAAAAAAAAAGACGTTAGAATAACAAATTAGGTTCCTACCGTTCGTAAAAAGTTAGAATCTAATCAAAAGTTAAAATTTTGTTTCTATGGTTCGATAAAATCTTATAAATAGTCTCTACCATTAGAAGCCCCTAAGAGATTGTGTACGCAGCATGACTTCCAACAGTAAGAACTATTTATGAGGTTTTGTTCATCTAATTTTTAACACCATAGAAACTAAATTCTAATTTATGACCAAACTTGTAATTTTTTAATAAAAATAATAATAAAGGTACAAGCAGCATGCTAATGACTCTGGATGGTAAATACAAGTTTCTGCCTGCTCTTTGAAAAACAATGGCTAATCTCCAGGTTGCGCAAGAAAAAAAGATCAACTTACTGCTTCTTGCCATTCCTGAGGTGGTCCAGAGGGCGGGACGGGGCCATAAACTGGTTCTGAGAAATAACTAGGTTTCTCCTTATTTCGAGGAGATTCTTCCATGTCTTCTGAAAGAGGACTCTGGCTCAGGTCCTTACCAGGGACAGCGTAATCGACGCCATCACCTACAAAAATATCATCCTCTTCTACTCTTGCAACGACTGGCCCTTGCTTCTCCTTTAAAACTATTTGATTTTTCTTGAGAGGGGGTGGAGGGGGCAATATCTCTCTTTCAGTTTGCTTCTTTGGCACGGCAGAATCAAGTGTTGATGGCTTGTTGTTTCCAACATATTCATTAACAATAGCTGAAATCTTAGCTGCAAAGAAAATAAAAAAGGAATGGTGAATTAAAAAAGTAAAAATAAAAAATGAGATATTAACAGGATCCCAATTGCTTGATGAAAACTTGAAACATCATATCAAACAAATGTTCAATGAATGAAGAGAATATTGAGGTGGAGTTCTTAAAGTAAAAGGGCAAATTGATCCGTTCATAAATTCTCAGACATTACATTGCAATTTAGGCATTCAAAGAAGATTAACATGTGCCTAATAATTAAATGCTTGCACTTGTACAAAAGTTTAACCACCACCTGCCAATACATGCAGTAGAACTGGGACACAGTACTCCTCAAGTACGACAATTGAATCTTTTCTTCTTCACGCATAATACCGTTAATAACAAACCTACTCTGGCATGAGCGAAATTGTACTACAATAATCATGCTTCCTATAATATTTATAGAAAGAAGAGGAGTGACACGTTGAAGTGGCAGCTTTCTTCCCTATCCTTTCATGTTACTCTTGCGGACTTTATTTTTAATTAATGGAAAAAAAAGAAAAAAAAACGTAAGTGCCAACTACCTTTAACATCTTTATCCTTCTTTTTCTTCTTCAAAACTTTTCCTGAGGATCCGAGACGAAGATATGACATGATTTTAGCAATTCGATCTAGTACAGAACCATCAACATTGACTGTAACCATTTCCTGCCGCAGGAGATCGATGATGAAAATCAGATTGGTTGTAGAAGACTTCAGAGGAAATGATGAAAGGAAAGAAATATTTCACCAAGAGATCAAGAAAAAATGAACCTCTGGAACTGGACAGTCAGCTTTACTTCTATGCAAAGTCGTTGGAATATCGTGAGAATATCCACCCTCCTGTGAATAAGATACGCATATAGTAAAATTCAGTAAGGATGTCATGAGCAAGGGAGATAATAAAGTTCAATGGATTAAATGAGTGACTTATGCCACTTCCCCCAAATAAGGATCATCCTCTCCGAAGAGCAACCGCCACTTTTTTTTTTTTTTTTTTTTTTTTAATTTT